CACACACCACACACCACCACCACCACCTTCATCACCACCATCACAACCACCAGTGCCACGACCACAACCACCACAACCACCACCACCAGCCCCACCGCGCCCGCCCCTCCCTTACCTCCTTTGAGATTCCATTTTGAACCAGCACATTTCTCGAAGGAGGTAAGGGCCTCGGTGCGGGATCGCAGTCTGCAACGTCACCGCCAATACTTCCACGCCCACGTGCGCACGAACACGCACACAACCACCCCCGCGCACACACAACGTTCACAGACACACAGACACACACCCACACACCCACACCCACACACCCACCCACACACACACACCACACGCGCACTCGTGCACCCGCCCACACACAGAGGAACGCACCACACGCGCCACTTCGTGCGCACACACGCACACACACACACATTCGCACGGCACCATCGCCACCACCAGCACCACGACCGCGACCCAACACCACCCGCACCACCACACACAGGCACACGCGCACCACGCACAGCACCCACACGCACACACACATACACACACACACACGACACACACACAGACCACGCGCACAAGTACGCGCGCACAGCACCACCAACACCGCCACCGTGACCACCACCACGACCACGACCATAACCACCGCAACCACCACCAACCCCACCGCCACCACCGCCCCACCACCCTTACATCATTTGAGAGTTTACTTTGAACCAGTACAGTCCTCAAAGGAGATAAGGGCCTCGTTTTGGGATAGCAGTCAGCAGCGTCACCGACAACACTTCCACCTCCACGCGCACACGCACGCACACACAATCATCCTTGCGCACAGACAGGCACACAAACACACACGCACACACACGCATTCAGACATCCACACACGCAAACATACGCACACACACCACGCGCGCACTCGTGCACCCGCCCCACACCCACAGGAAAGCGCCACACGCGCGCTTGCGTGCACACACCCATGCCCGTCCGCCCCCACACACGCCCACGCGCGTGGCACCACCACCACCACCAGCACCACGACCACCACCCACCACCGCCCGCACCACCACAGACACCGACATCCACCACGCACAACACACACAGCAGACACACCCGCACACCACACACACGTGTACGCGCGCGCATCATTTCAACCAGCACCATCTCCACCACCGCCCCCAGGACCACAACTACTACAATCACACACCACCACCAACACCAGAGCCTCCGCCCTCCCCCCCCCCACCCACCCCCCCCCCCCCCCCCCGCCCCCTCACACCCTGCTAAATCACAATCAAGCAAGACATGTCTCAAACGGAGGTAGGGGCGTCGTTTTGGGGGTAAGCAGTCTGCCCCACCAACCCCCAACACCAACACCAACACCGCCACCAACCACAAACAACAGGGAACAACACCGCAAACCACCACCAGCAAGCAATTCGCAAACCATTGGGAACTCTGTCCGCAGATGGCAACTTTTCTTTGGGTTCCCAATATAAAAAAGACCGCGTCGGGTGGGGGCCCCCCCCCCCCCCCCCCCCGACACGCGCGCGCACATAACACGCGCGCGCGCACGCGCGCACACACAACCCCCACCACCACCGCACCACAGCCGCCACCACGCGCACACAAACACACACACACACACACACACGCGCGCACACACACACACACACACGCACACACACGCGCACCCACGAACCCACCCGCGCACGCACGCGCACACCACCCACCAAACCAACAACAACAACACCACACCACCAACCACCAGCACCCACCACCCCCGCCCGCCACCGCCACCCAATTGCCCAATAATGATCCGATGTGCGGGGGTCTCGTCGCCCCCCCCCCGCCCCCGCGGCCTGCGCGGAATGCGCATTGGTGTATGACGTTGTTCGGCTCTGGCTATCATTCCAGCTGAACGAAAGCGCGTGCAAACCACACAACATGCCATGTCCAGCTTTTGAGCGACATCTGCATAAACATGCGCAAGCCAGATTGGGCAGACCGCCGCGAATTTTACGGGGCGCGATGCGCGGATTGGGACGCACGCCCACGGCATTCCGTCACGGAGTGGCTAGACTCTCTCTCTCTCTCTCTCTCTCTCTCTCTCTCTCTCTCTCTCTCTCTTTTGTTCTTTCACGTTTCAGGTGGCCAAACTCAATCCCCACATTTATCATGTTTTCTTGCAGACCACAACCCCCCGCGTGGAACAGGACCCTTGCGGATTTCGCTTGCCCCCCCCCCGCCCCTTCCGAATCTACGTGTCCGGCAGGCCTTCGGCCAGCGCTGCGGAGTCCAACGGCGGAAGGGTTGGGGGTGGGTCCTACGGGGGGTGGGGCGCGGGAGGGGTGGGGTGGAGTGTGGCCGAGGGAGGGGGGAGGGAGGGGGGTCTTATTGTGGGGGTCCTATGATGCGGCCCCGATGAAGGAATCCGATGGCGCGTGCCTGTGGCGGAGTCCCTATTGCGGGGTCCGATGCGGGAATCCTATGCGGGAGTCTTTTCGGGGGGCGGGGGAGACCCGATGAGGGAGCCTCATGCGTGCATGTGTGCGCGGGCGGGGAGCGTGTGGGGGGGGAGGGGGGGGGGGGGGGGGGCGTATGTGTGTGTGCGTGTGTAGTGGGCTTCTCTGTGTGTGTGTGTGGTGGTGGCGGTGGTGGTGGTGGTGGTGGTGGTGTGGTGGTGGTGGTGGTGGTGGTGGTCGTGGTGGTGGTGGTGGTGGGGGCAGTGGTGGTGGTGGTGGTGTGTGTGAGTGAGCGTTTGTGCGGGGCGGGGGGGGGGGGGGAGTGGGGATTTCTTCCAGGGGGAGGGGGGGGGGATTGGGCCTTGTGGCGGACTTCGCCGTAGGACTCTCCCAAACGCCCCCTCCTCTCCCCGCCCCCCCATGCGACTCCTCCGCAGGATTCCCCATCGGGCCCTCTCCCCCCCCCCCCCCCGCAGGACTCTCATTAGAATCGCACATTGGGATCCCCCATCGGGCCCCCCGTTTGCCCCCCCCCCTATGGGGCTCACCAAATAATAGCACCACTCAGTTTGCATCCCGCGATTCCCATGACATATGCACATTGCACGTAACACGCTGCACGCTTTAATATCACATCCGTTGAAACACTCGCCGCTGCTGCCAAACAACGTAACTGTCTGGGTCCACCGCGCCCGTGTAGCAAATATATATCAGGACCCGCCCTTGCAACGCAACGTAAATGCTCCTGGGCAACCGGGGCACCGATCACGTGTTTCACGATAGTACACATCGCGCATGCGCGCTTGATTCTCTCATTTTGGGTGAGCAAGGCGTCGGCGGAGTCGCAGGGGCGCCCCCTCCCCGAGTAGTCCTGTTTACGTAGGGGGGGGGGGGGGCAAGCCCTGGCCCAAGGGGGGCTCCTCTGACGCGTGTCGAACGCTGGTCCAGCCTTTGCCCCACAACCAAGCACCGACCTCGGTTCCCTTCTCTTTTGTGCTTCGTTACGTTTGATGCGACCCTTCAGAAGCTGGCCGACTTCGTCCGAGCCCCGACGTTCGAGGATGAAGCGAACATGGATGCCGCTGATGCTGATGAATGGTATTCCGAGGCTGCTCAGTTTATGAGGACTGCAATCGAAGACGATGGCGTGAAGAAGGGCAAGGACATGAGGACACCGAGAGTGAGTGGTTGGGAATATTGTTGCTGCTTAGATAACATGCACATGGTTCAGCACGGGCGTGGGCTTGATATGTTCCAAGACGAAAGATTCAAAGCTGGCCACGCCGTTCATGAACCGAAGTGGCCGCCACCTGAAGAACCGATTGCAAAACCATGGCTGGGAATGTGCCAAGATGAAGCTTCCAAGGTGTTATCGCCCATCATGTTTCTGATATTCGACCTTGGCTTACGCATGACCAACCTCGCCGATCCGAACCACAAGATTCAGAACGATTTATGGGGAGCTGCTCGGGAGGCAGGCATTTGGAAAACAATCAAGCTTACACAGATCTCCCTGAACGTCCTCGCTGGGCCATTTGGGTCGCAGGGCCACCGCGGCAAGTGCATCGACGCCACGCTTGACTATCTCAGACGCTGCGGGGTCGATTGCCCCATGCTGTCTGCTCATTTGGAGGATATTGCGAGAGAGCGAGGAGAACTGGACCTACTTCACGATGCAAACTATACAGAGCACGTGCTTGGGCAGATGGCGACGTTGGACTTCATCACTGAGAAAAATTTGAGGACTCAGCTCGCTCGGTGGGGCTCCTGGCTCGATGCATGGGGGGGGGGCGCGTGCCGAAGTTTACGGTGCACAAACTTGTGAAACTTTATCTAGCTGTAATCTTGGGTTGGAGGCTTAAGCACTTCGTCGGCGCGTCTGCTGTGTTGCCAGATGTTTCGAAGGTCGGGGACAAACCTATGTCCATGGCGGCCGAGGCCAAGGCCGAAGAGAGACGATTCAGGAATGATGCATCGGGGGCTTTGCATACCGCTCTACTTGTTGACTTGGATACAACACGCATTCGGAAGGGTAACATATTCTACCATTTAGGCGTGCACTTGAGGATCGACCAAGGTAAGCAAGGAAAAACAAACAAGGGCGCCGAGTCCAGCATCAGATATTGGGGTGGACTGGCAGCAGGCGGGGGATTCGATGGCCTCGCCAAGGTATTCGAGCAGCTCTTGAGCCCACGTGTTCTAATCAAGATGGGCTTCTGCACTAACGTGGCGGACTTGGGCGACCACGACACTTTACCTGCTGAGACTCTGAAGTGTGATATTCAGCTCGAGCAGGACTGGGCTTCACTGACGTCGTCAATTGCTTGGGCCATTGTGGATCATCGCCAGCGGCCCCTCCTATCCTCATGGGAAGGCTTCCCAGGCAGGGCAGCGCAACTCTTGATGCCAAGTGAGACGGATGTCCGAAAGGGCTTGACATTTTTGTCAGAGTGTGCGAAGGTGTATCTGGCAGCGTTCAAGCGAACGGAACCCCACGTCGTGCAGCGCGTTGCGCGAAGTTTTCTGAACACTGCGGCTGGCCGCCACATCTTCGAGCTTATCAGCTTCCATGGGTACAACGTTGTGCCGGTGGAGGCACAGCGGTGTTTGCGAGCTGCGTTTAGCATGGGCCAGTCGAGGGTTCAAGAGAAGAACTTCCATGGCCATCGCCAGGCTACAAAGCGATTCTTCCAGAGCCCCAAGATGACGAATTCCCGCAGGTGGATGCAGCCCGTCCAGGACAAGCTCGCGAGCACAGACTACAAGTACAACGAGGTCGACTACAGGAAGCTTCCGAGGAACAGCCCAATCGCGGTGGGCAAAGCTATGCCGAAGCGCTTCTTCGACCCGCTGAAGAAGAATACAACTTTGAATTTCAAGAAGATTGCGAGTTCCTCAAAAACATCGTGGCCAACGTTCACAGCACAGACCTTAAGCAAACAAATTGGAGACATGCAGATATTCAGGTCTGCGTATTCTTCTGGTGACTGGCCGAGTACACAATATTCTTGGTTGTCTGGGCTTGCGCCTCGAGGTACGCTTCTTCGCAAGAAAGGTGCTGGCACCGAGTTCAGCTTCTCGTGTGGAGTGGTCGGTGGAAGTGCAGTTCGCCTGTGGCCTGCGGACAAGTCCGTCTCGACAGATGGCAAGGTGACGTGCTACTTCCCGAGGCTCGCCAACGTGAACTACGAGTCTCTTGGCTGGGCCGTGATCTGCAAACACTCGCAGTGGGAGGTGCAGCCGACTCGTCCTATCGGGCCCTTGGAGTTATCTCGCCACGTGTTTCCTGGAGACTTTCAGCCGACGTTCGGATCCACCTGCGCTTCGGCGCCGTTGGATTTGCTGGAGGGTGCCGCGCGCGAGGCTTTTTTCAATTTCCCAATTGGCGCCTTGAAGATGCTGCCGTCGCGCACGCACACCCGCCTGGATGATGCTACCACGCTTTGGGCAGTTCTCGAACAGCTTGTATCCAAATTTGCCAAGCCAGCCAACAAGGAAGAGCTCATGCGCATCTTGGCCAAGCGACAGGTGCACGCGTACAACGAAGCAGACGTTCAGATCGATCCTGCGAGCTTGGAAGAGGTTATCGAATCACCTGACTTGCGGACCTTCGACGAGCTAGAGGATGACAGCTTCAAGAAAAAGGCAGGGCGTAAAAGCTACAAGAAATCGTTCAAGACACTCTATAAGGAAGTACGCGGCCTCGACGGGCCCCCCCCGAAAAAGAACAAGAAACTACCAGCGGAGGTCGTGGCCGCCTCCAAGAAGAAGTATGCAGCTACAGACCGCATCAATGTTGAGTACGCCCGTGCGTTGATCCCACCTGGGTGCTCGCTCGGAGTCGACACCACCAGAGGGAGGTGGTACGTGAGAGACGATGCCATTGGTTTCAATGCTGAGCGCTCTTGGGGCCGCTGGGGCCCCGTGGGCTCGTCGACCATTTGCGTGGAGCTAGTGCGGCAGCACCTGGACGAGGCCAACCCCCACGAGTGGCTGAAGGAGATCGCCGATGAATCTCTGTCGAAGTAATGACGCTTCGGCCGCTCCCCGAGCAGATGGAGGAGGAGATACATGAGGAGGGGATGGAGGAGGAGATTGAGGAGGATAGGGAGGAGGATGAGGAGGAAGGATTCGCGTTTCTGCTCCGTTGTTCTCCCAGAGATCTCGTGGTAGACCCACAGGGTCTATGCAGTTGTTTTTTTGGTGGGCCCTGGCTGCGTTAAAATATGCAGCCAGGCGCCACGGCCTGCGTCGCATCGAAGCGGGCCGCGCCAAGAGGTCGCGATCGCGTTGCTTGGGCCCCCGCGCCGAAGGCACGTTGAGGCCCAATTCACGCGAGGAAGTACGCGCTCTGACTCTGTTTTTTTTGGGGGGGGGGGGCAACCCAAGTGCAGTGAGTTGCCCCAGCTCTTGCTGGGTTCAGTCGGCGCGCCTGCTGGCCGACCTCCTCGCCCAGAAGCCGCGAGCTTGAGCAAAGTAAAAGACGGTTCGCCCTAATCTTCCTTCGCTTCGCGACGGCGCACCCAACGCACATGGCAGACACGGTGACGCATTCGCACGACATTCGCATGTGTATGATAAATCGAGGCATAACACCATGAACACGACCATGCGTCTTCGAGTCACAACACACACCACGAACATATGCACACACATGTGATTACGCCATCCCCAACCGTAGGCGATGCACGGTACACTCGTATCATGCGCATCCTAATATAATAGCGTTCAATCCGACTAACGTTTTACGGCTCAAACGTGCATTCTGTACTTGTGTGGGTGTTTCTTGGGGCACGCCAAGAGTACGAATCGCCGCGAGACCCTCGCATTCGTTGGTGGCGCGCGCCAGGGCGCAGGATAACAACATGGTAGCGGAGCCCGCGCCGCAGCGCATGGCGATATTCAGCCACCACCCGAAAAAAAGCCGCGAGCACAAGTTGAAAACATTTGTCGATCAACGATTTTTCGATCAGTCAGGACACCTCCGATAGTGCTCGGCTGAACAAGAAAGCATGCATTGCCTACACCCGCTGGCGCATATGGCACGGCGCGCCAGCCCAATGGAAGACCCCATCGCCCGCGATTGCACGCTATTTCGCGGCTGAGAGAGCCCAGCTTTACCCGGGGCTTCGTCTCAAGGACTACGGCAAGCTGGTGCCAGTGGCGGGTTTGCGGAGGTAAGCTCCGGTGCAGAGCGCGTGGCGTTCGCGTCAGTGTACGCAGGATTATGGTGAGCTCTCCTCCTTCGTCTCCTTTTGCTTCGGCGGTTAGCTTGCTCTCCCTCTCCTGTTTCACTGGGATCTTCCCTCGCGGCGGGGATTGCCGCCAATGCCGCTGCCGGGTGGTGCTCCGCCAGCTTGGATCTCACGTAGCGTTTCGCACTGGGGGTGGGCGGCGAGGCGCCCACTGGCTACCTTAGGACGGCGCCCCCCCCCCTTCTGATGGCCGCCAAGATTTCGATTGGATTTCGAGGAGTTGCTCTTGCTGTTTACGGTTCAAGGACTTCGAGTTCGGCAGGTGCCATTATGAGCGCTCGTTTTCCACAGGGGCTCATTTGGCACAGTCAAGAGTCATTCGGCGCAGTCACCTTTCTCCTCCTTTCTTCTCGCGCCGCGCGCCTGGCGTGCGTGCGCTTCCCCTCCTCTCCTTGGTCTCGCTGGGTTTATCCCGCGCGGCAGGGGGGGCCCTCCAATACTGCTGTCCGATGGTGCTCTGACTGCCTGAATCCCATGCAAGGATCACACTGGGAATGGGCGGTCAGGCGCCCCCTGGCCTGCTCCTGGCCGGCGTCGGCCTCCACTGACGGCCGAAAGGGCTCAGTGGGATCTCGCTGCGCTGCCGACCTGTAGGGTGCAAGGACTTCGGGTTCGGCATGTGTGGCTCTGTGCGCCCGTCGGCTGATTTTTCCTGCATGGGCTCCGTTTTCGACAAGCGCCACTGCTGTGCAAGCAAGAGTTACTGCCGTTCGCTGTCCTATATTTGACGAGTTTGCCCCTCTTCGCTTTTGCGCCGACACGATGTTTCGACATTTGTGTTCGTCCACGTCACGGATGTCATCTGGGGGTGCTTGTCGGTCTCGATCGTCTCTGACGTTGCCGTCCGACCCACTCAAAAGTGATCGACCTCTACGTGATTTTGGTCGCGCCGCCGCGCCGTTTTGGCTGCGTCTGTTCGCCGGTAGCCACCGGGATTTTCGGACGCCACCGGGATTGGGTTTACCGGTTCGCTTCGCCTTCTGAGCTGCCGCCCGGCTGCTGCGCCTGTCTTGCTTTCCGCTTTCCGCGGCCTGGTCGTGGCCCGGCTAGAGTATGGGCGCCTTTTGACCCGCTTCACGTGGCCGTGGACCAACAATCTCCCCATCAGCCCTTTTCAGAAACCCTGCCCATGAGCTGACGGGAACAGGGGGTGATTTTTTTTGGATGGTCTTAGGGCCCTCCTGGGCCCTCTTGGGGCTCTCGCGGGGTTCTTCTGGCAGCCATCTTAGATGCCATCGATCACATGGGGAGGGTCTTCTATCTAGGTCCCCTTTTTCGGGCCCTCGCAATCCCCTTGTCGGATTTGCTCCTGGCCCTTTGGGGGCACATTGGACGCTCGCGATGCCGTCTGAGGGGTTTTTTGATCCCCTGTTGGGCCTCTCTTGGGCCATCTCGCGGGTATCTTGAGCCCTTCAGATGCATTTCAAGTCAACAAGCGAGACGGCAACGATCAATGACTTCCCTTCGGTGTTTGAATGTTGTGTTCTCGTCGGGGTGCTGAGTCATCTTGGAGAGCACTTGTAATGGCATTGTGGCCTTCTTGGGGTCTCTTGGGGACATGTCGAAAGCTGTCTTGGGCAATCTGCGGCTGTCTTGAGCCATCTGGGATACCATCTTGGAACATCGGATGCCCCATTGGAGCCGTATTGGTCCAATCGTGGGCTTGAACCCCCCGCGACCCCCTGTAACTTCAGGGATTGGATCGGGGGAGGGTGCCCCTCCCCGAAAGGAAAAAGGCGCCACGGTTTTCATCACATGCGTAGCATGCTCTCTCACCCACTCCCTGAGGGCTGGTGGGATTACCCTGTTTGCTGCGTGCGGCTTGTTTCGGTTCCGCCGCCGGGCCGCCGGGCGTCTTCCTCGATACACTGTCGGTTCCAGCGCTGGGAAGCGTCAGGAAAACTGGCTGCATGTGGCTGATTCGCAAATCCCCTTTTCGTCCGACCCGTTTAGAGGTGGCTCGACGGTCGAAGCTTTAGGGTTGGCCTCTCGTCGCCACGGCTGGATGCGCCTTGGTACTCTGGCCAAAACGCACCCCTGAAGGGGTCCACGGAGGAGGGGAGGAGGAGGAAAAGGAGGCGGGGGGACGAGGAAGAAGAGGGGGAGGAGGAGGGAGGAGGAGGAGGTGGAGGAGAAGGAAGAGGGGGAAGGGGGATGAGAAGGATGAAGAGGTTGGACGGAGGAAGTCGATGATGATGATGCTGATGTTGATGCTAATGCTACTGCTGATGATGATGTTGATGCTGATGATGATGATGATGATGATGATGATGATGATGATGATGATGATGATGATGAGGCTGATGCTGATGCTGATGCTGATGCTGATGCTGATGATGATGATGATGATGATGATGATGATCATGATGATGATGATGATGATGATGGTGATGATGGTGATGAGGAGGAGGAGGAGGACGAGGACGTTGAGGAGGAGGAGGGTGTGGAGACGGAAAGACAAGGAGGTGGAGAGAGAATGAGGAGGAGGGAAAGAAGCAGGAGGAGGAAGAGGACGAGGAGGACCAGTGTAAACCCAAGACTCCTCAAAGATGTTGGAACAAACCCTCCCTCCAAGCTTTCTCTTCATACGCCCCTACAAGGAATCATCTTCACTGGGGGCAGTTCCCCGTTGGGAGAGAGTCGTTTGAAGATCCTGAAGCGTGCCAAGGCACAATTCTCCGGACTGCTGCGCCACGAATCAACCTGATTGTTTCTTTTGACGATCTTGAATTGTGCCAGAACGCCGTTCCTGGGACTTCAACACCGCGAATCAACATAACTTTTGCGCCTGGACAGTCCTGAATCGTTCCAACACGCTGTTTCTGGTACCTTAGCCATGCGAACCCGTGCGCGGCGCTATGGCGAGAGCCACACTTGGAAAAGGAACCGCCCCCCATCCGTGAGACTCTTGCGATATTTCGAAACGTGTGTGCGCGGCGCTACGGCGAGAGCCGCATTGTGAAAAGGAACCACCCTCCGTCCGCGAAGATCTTGCAAATATAACTCGTTGAATGAGCGCGGTGCCATGGCGAGAACCACATTTTGAACACCGCCCGCTCTCAATCGATGAACTGTTTGCAAATGTTCAAGGCAAGTGTGCGCGGCGCTACGGCCAGAGCCACATTTGGAAAGCCACTTGCGCTCCATCCGTGAAATTGGTGACGACCTCCTCAGCTGCAGGACCAGAAAAAAGTGAGGAATTCTCAGGCGAAACGCCCGGCCCGCCTTTCGACTGGCCTCGGGGTGCAACAAGGAGGAGCGATGTGTAAGGAAAAGGAATAATGGAGGAGGGGAACAAGAAGGAATAATCTGGTAGAGGAGGAGGAGGAAGACGAGGAGGAGGAGGAGGAAGAAGGCAGGAGGAGGAGGAGGAGGAGGAGGAGGTTTTGGACCCACATTCTCTGGTCTGGAGGCTCTCCTGCAGGCTGGTCGTCCGTCGCGACCGACCAGGAAGGGACATTCAAGAAAGCCATATTCGGACCAGCGCCAGGATTTCTCAGCCAGACACCAGTGTTTGGAGAACACTTGGCGGTACTGCGCGGGCTGATGCAGGCCGACCGACGCACAGATGCCGTTCTTCGCCGCCAAAGTTGATTGCGCTGTTCTGATGAAAAGGGGTGGGACTACCTCTCAGAAGTATGGATGGAACCACCAGCTCAGCATATGTCTGGCTAGAAGTGGACGATGGCAAATGCCCACCTCTGGCCTTAACGAAGGTCAAAACACACTCGAAGTTTACTGAAGATACCGCTCCGATTACCCATCTGAATGTTCGAGGTAATACTCTTGCGGATGAAAGTTCTAGACGTGGAGCCCTGATGCGCCTACATGCCTAGGACATAGAAGTGTGCGTAAGAGTCGCGGGGCAATCTGCTCTGGGACCCCTCGTGGGCTGCTCGAGCCGCGCCATCAGATCTTCAAGGCCCAGGAGAGGACCCTCGAAGCTGGTGGACTCCAGTGGCCCGAAGGCCACCACATTTGCAAACTTTGGCCCCTCAAAGCGGGGGCGTTGGAATGGTGGAAGCACGCGGAGGCCGCCCTGCCCCCGCCCCTCTCTCGGCTTGCTGACTACGAAGGCCTTACGGCCGGTGCCGTCGACCCTGAATGGTGACGACGACGACGAAGACGACGATGAACGCTCTTGGGGGCCTCTTGGGGGTAGTTTGGGGGCCCCTTGGGAAGCTCTTGGGGGCCGCTTGGAAGCCTCGTGGGGGCCTCTTGGGGCTTCCTGGGGGTCTCTCGGGGGCTTATTGGGGCTTCTCGGGGGTCTTGTTAGGGACCTCTAGGGAGGGGCCTCCTGAGAGCTTCGCAGGCCGAGGGCTCGAAATTTCCGTTCGGGCACCCTGTCTGGGCTCCTCCTTAGAGCCGTCTTGGGGGCTTTTTCGGCTGTCTTGAAGGCCTCTTGGTCGGTCCTGGGGCCCTCTTGGGTCGTTTGGGGCTCTCTCGGAGGCCTCTTGGGCCATCTTGGGGCGGTCTCGGGGGCTTTGAGGCCTGCCTTGGAGCGCCGGGAAGCGGACGAGGCGATAATGCCGAAATGTTTCAACAAATTTCGGACAATCGATGATTCTTGCACCTTGGGGCCCTCCTGGTATTCCTCGTGGAACCCTCTTGGGGCCTTTTGGAAACCTTTTAAGCCGTCTGGAGGGTACTTTGGCGACTTGGACCGATGCGTGGGCGATTCGGGACCTTCGAGGACCGTCTTGGGGGCATCTTGGGGCAGTTGTGCCGCGTCCTGCGGCTTGTCTTGGCCGCCCAACCGCCCGAGGGGGAGTCGCATCTGCCCCGGGACCCGCCCGGGATCCCTTCCCCGAGACTCCCCCGGCGGCCGGGACCTCCCCCGGGACCTCGCCCCCAGGACTCCCCCCCCCCTGCGGGGAAGGGATCGAAAGGAAGGGGCTTCCTTCGGGTTGACCCAGAACGGGGTCCAGCGACAAGGGGGTGGCGCAATGGACTTGGTGCACTAGATTTGTGGGGTTGCAATAAATTTTGGGCGTGCAATATATATCGGGGCGCAAATGTATTGCTGTACTTTCGCGCACAATACATCATCCGCAACACAATGCAATACAAGTCTCCGGCGCAATACGTTTGCAATACAATTGCCCCAAATCTATTGCACCACCCCCTGTCAGCTGGACCCCTTCTTGGGCCACCCAGATTCCCTCGACTCAACTACGACGTTGGTTCGAGGATGAAAACCCTATGAAAGACGGGGGGGGGGCGGCGACGGACCTAGGGAAAAAGGGGGGAAGCGAGCGGCGAAGGCGACGACGACGACGACAACGACGACGACGAGTCAAACGGAACAGTCTCTTCCACACGCCGACAGGGTCGGCGGATTTTTTATCCGTCATGCGTCTTCCTTCGATCTTGATCGGTGAGTGAATGAGAGGCGGCTCAAAAGGAGGAGGAGGAGGAGGTGGTGGTGGAGGTGGAGTACGAGGAGGAAAGACTTGTTTCCCAACCCTCACTTGGTTGGGTTCTCGTTTTGAATAGAGCAGTGGGGTTGCCACTTCCCGTGTCCTTTGCTCCCGCCCTCTGTCCCCTTCTCGCCTGCCTGCCTGTGACGGCCTGCGTCTGCTTGCTGGGGGAGCCAGATCTGTCCCCATCTCGCCTTCCTGCTGTGGGGGCCAGCAAAGTGGGGCAGTGGGGCCCCGCGCAGATCCAACCAGGACCTCGCCATCCCTGGGGGGATGCGAAATGTGAAACTGCCCCCAGTTTCGAGGGTTGCTGGGGGGGGGGGGGCAGCACAGTGGGGTCCCACGCAAAACCAAACGGGACCTCGCCAAGTGCGAATGTGTCGCCATTTTCAACGAAGTGCAACATTGTCGCCGCTTTCGGGGGCTGCGGGGCGGGGCTGCACAGTGGGGTCCCGCGCAGATCTCACCAGGACCTCGCCATCCTTGGGGTGTTGCGAAATGTGAAATTGTTTCCGCTTTCGAGGGTTGCTTGGGGTGCCAGCGCAGTGGGGTCCTACGCGGATGGCAACACGACTTCGCCATCATTGCGCTGCTTCTGCCGAAGTAATTGTTCTTCCACCCCGGTGTCTTCCTTTTGGTTCGCCTTCCCAGCACAACTCCTCCTGGCCTTGTGTACCTCTGCTTTGCGAGCTGGTCACGCACACTTTGCACGACACGTATACCTGCCGTGTAGCGTTTCTTGCAGTGTTGTTGTCTCACTAATGTAGGCACACGAGTTGCATGCGTCGCAGGGTACTGTGCTGACGGTGCGTGTCGAATAACCATATCGGTTGAGGAGGAGGCAGAGGAGGAGGAAGAGGAGGAGGAGGTGGTGGAGGAGGAGAAAGAGGCGAAGGAGGAGGCGGAGGAGGAGGAGGAGGAACAGGAGGATGAGGAGGAGGAGGATCAACAGGAGAAGGGAGGAGTGCGGCGGCGGCCGTGCCTCCTCCAGGGCACAGCCTTTCCCACGCACCCTCCCCTGGGGGCACCGAGCCGGCCCCGACGAGCGCGCGCTTCCCATGCATCTTGAAGTCGGCGCACGGCGAGTTCGGCAAGGGCAACCGCATCGTCGAGGACCGGCGTCGCGAACCCCTGAGATCTGGGCCTGGTCGGTGGGTTTTTCCCAGCTTTCCTTTGGTTGGGGTCTCGTTTTGAGTAGAGCGGTGGGGTGCCGACTCCCTTCTCCTTCTCCCGCCCTGTGTCCCCCTCTCGCCTGCCTGCGCCTGTCTGCGCTTGCCTGCTGGGGGGGGCCAGCTGTGCCCCCCGCTCGCCTGCCTGCTGGGGGGGCCAGCGCAGTGGGGCCCCACGCGGGCCCAAACAGGACCTCGCCATCCCGGGGGGGCTGCGAAGTGTGAAACTGTTGCCACTTTCGAGGGTTGTTGGGCTGAGCCAGAGCCATGGGGTCCCACGCAAACCAAAAGCGACATGCGACAATGTCGCCACTTTCGAGGACTGCTGGGGGGGCAGCACAATGGGGTCGCACGCAAACCCAAACGTGACACGGTGACCTCGCCATCCCTGGGGGGCTGCGCGGTGTCAAGCTGTTCCCACATTCGAGGGGTGTTTGGGAAGCCAGCAAAATGGGGTCGCCCGCAAATCCGAATGGGACCTCGCCATCGTAGCGCGCCGATCCCCGAGTGCCTCTGCACGGCCGTCCGACGATGTCCAACCCGACCGATTCGACTGCGGGCTCCGTGGGCCACCGCTCGCGCAGTGGCGCAGCCGCGCGGCCTCCACCCAGCCCCCCCCCGCCCCCCTCGTTGCATCTCTACCAGTCTACTGCACGGTAATCCCCCCTTCATGTTCCCCCCTCTGGAAGTTCGCTCTTGCCAACGATCGAAGGATCCGATTCCTCTCGCACTTCGCCAGTGCTCGAGCGCGTGATATGTCTCGTCGCATGGCGTCGGCGGCGTTCTCGGCAAACGATGTTCTCGCGGGGCTTGGCGCGCGGCGCCGAGCGGGTAGGCGCCTCGCTGCGCGGCAGGTAACGCGCGAGTGCGCGCGGGCGCCCCTGCGGATGCGTCGCAGCGGCGTCGCTCATGGAAGCCATCGTTCTGCGGCCGCCGCGCGGGGAGGAGGGATTGCGTGGGAAGGCGTCAGCTGCAGTTGCGTTGTTCGCATTGGGGTCGGTGGGAGGCGCCGAGGAATTTCCTTGCTTGCCGGGATGGCGCTCGCGCGCGCAGGGGGCCACTCGCGCGTCGCACGGTTGGCCCAATTTCGGAACCTCCATGGCTCCCGGGGCCTCCAGGGGCCTCTTGATGTCTCTTGGGGCTTCCTGGGGCCCCCTGGTGCTTACTGTTACTTCCTGCGGGTTGCTGGGGCCACCTGGTGCCTCATGGTGCTTCCTGTTGCCCCCAGGGGCATCCCGTGGCCTTCTGGAGCCTCCTGGGGCTTCTGGAGCCTCCTGAGACCTCCTGAGGTCTCCTGTGGCCTCCTGGGGGCTGCGGCCAACTGGGGCCCCCTGGGGCTTTCTTGTGTTTCCTGTGGTTTCCTTAGCCCTTCTGGGGCCTCGTGGGGCCTCTCGGTGCTTCCCGGTTCCACCCAGGACCTCCTGGGGCTTCCTGGGGCCTCATATGGCCTCCTGGGGCCACATGTGATTTCTTTGGGCTTCTGGGGCTTCCTGGTGCATCGTGGTGCGTCCTGATGCCTCCTGGTGCTTCCTGGTGCCTCCTGGGACCTCCTGCGGCCTCCTGGGGTATCCTGGGGCCTCCAGAGACGTCCTGGTGCCTTCTGGAGCTTCCTGGGGCGCCCTGGGGCCTCCTGAACCTGGGGCCTCCTGGGGGCCTCCTCCAGGGGTGCGCCCATGAGCGTCGCGTGCGAGCGGGTGCGCGCGGGAGCGCCCTCGGGGCGTTGCTGGCCCAGAGCCGCTCACCGTGCGGAGAGATGGATTCTGAGTTTGCGGGCCTCCTTTTTGCACTTGCCTGAGGCCCGCGCGACCCCGATTCGCTCCATGAAGGGAGTCGTCAAAGCTGTGCTACGCACAAGGGGGGGAAGCTTTCGCCCGCCTTCCGCGCCGCTCGGGTGCGGGCGAGCTGCGAGCTAACTCTCGCCCGCTGAGGCTTGTCGTTTGCGTCGTTCGCAGCCTGGCGATTGTCAGGACCGACGCTCGCTCTGGAGAACACGAGAGAGAGAGAGGGAGATCGAGAGAACGATAGAGAAACAGGGAAAGAGATAGAGAGAGAGAGAGAGAGAAAACTCGAGAGAGTAAGAGTAAGAGAGAGAGAGAGAGAGAAAAAGAGAGAGAGAGAGAGAGAGGTCACCACATTTTCTCGAGCGGATGTATGCGGCCCTCGCGCGACAGCACAGTTTGAAGCCAAACCGTTTTCCATGCACGTAACTTTCGGAAGTGCCACGCGAGACGCCCAACCCGCCCCACCGACACCCTTGGTAGTGCGACGCTGGTGGGTTGTGTGTATACATACATATATATATGTGTCTGAGGAAGTCGGTTAGGGGTGGACGACGGCGACGCCCCGCCAAGAAAACGAAAACGAGGTGCCATCGTTTCTCATTGTATTGATTTTGTCATTCTAACAGCAGAGGACGAGAGCGAGGTTCGCCGCTGGGCCAGCGAGGGCTTCGGGTCGCAGTGGGTCCTCCAAGAGCTCGTCCCGGGGCGCGTCGAGCACTCCGTGTCGCTGCTGGCGCCCCCGCGGGATAAGTTCAAGGGGTGGCCCAAAAGGCGAGGCGTGGGCGTCCGAGGGGAGAAACACATTCCTCCTCCTCATCCATCCTCCTGCTCCTCTTCTGCGTCCTCCTTTTCTCTCGACCTCCTCCTGTCCATCCTGTTCCTCCTCCAACTCGCTCCCCCTCCTCCGCCTCGCTCCTCGTCTTCCGCCCCTTTTCCTCATCAGTAACTCTTCCTTGCCGCGCCTTCAGACGTATCGGTACGGCGGGCCGGGCGTGTTGCATGATACCTCGTACCATTTGTGACCCTGAATCTTGGAATTTGTAGCAGTTTCAGGGATGGAGGGCGGGCCGTTTTCAAAGTGTGGCTCTCGCCCAAGCGCCACGCACATTCTTATTGCAACGTTGGCAATGGTTTCAATGATGGGGAGCAGGTCGTATTGAAACTATGACTCTCGCCTTAGTGTCGCGCGCATTCGTCCCAAACGTTTGCAGCACATGCCTTGATGGAAGGCGGCACGTTTTCAAGATATGGCTCTCGCGTTAGCGTCGCGCACGTTCGTCTTCACAGTTTGCCACAGCTTCAGGGGTGGAGGGCGGCTCCATTTCAAATTGTGGTTCTCGCGTCAGCGCAGTGCAAATTTGTTTGTTAAGCTTAGAGTTTCAGGGTTTCGTAGGGTTGCAGCTTGTCGCGACTTGAGGTTGTGATGGCCCAGCAATCACGTTGATTCGCCGTGCTGGAGTCCCAGGGATGTGTACTGGCACGATTGGGGATTATCAGATGATTCTCTCCCAATGGTAGGGACGTGATCGCTGGGATTTAGGAATAATGCTTTCTTGCGACATCGTTGATGCGACTTGGGTTTGCACTGGTCCTCCTCCTCCTCCTCCTCCTCCTTCGACACCGATGCTCTCGCCTTCGCCTCTGTTTGGGCCCTCCTGGCGTCACGGCCTGTCTTCTCTGAGCTCACGGCGTCAGGACATACACGTCCGCTTGGAGTCCCCGTGCCCGTCTTTGAGCGCCTCTGGGGCGAGGATGAGGAGTAGGGAGAAGAGGACAGAGCAGGAGGATGAGGAGGAGGAGGAGGAGGAGGAGGAGGAAGGGCGGAGGAGGATGGGCAGGAGGCCGAGCAGGAGCCCCAGACGAGCGGAGCGGGGATCTCTCCCTCCTCTCCCTGTGCCTCCTCGGGATGTCCCGGGCCCGTGGCCGGCAGGCCAGACTCGTGCCCCCTCCTGTCTTTGGGGGGTGGCCTTGCCCCCAGGAGGTCCCGCGGAGACATGCGGAGGCCTCGGGAGGCCCAAAACGAATTCAAGAGCACCACACAACAAATCATTCTGGAGGCCTCAAGAAGGCTCAAGGAGGCTCAAGGTAATTGAAGCATTCGCGCAGAAAACCTTCCCCCTGAATGCCTGGCTGGGCCCCCTTCGGGCCGCGCTGTGGTCAGGTGAGCCCAGGACTCTGATAAATCGCTCCAGAGCGCTCCAGAACGGTCTGCTCTCAGAGACGCTTTAAGAGTGTCCCAGAGCGCTTTGGAAAGCTCGCGGCGCCCGATCCATACAGCAGAGACGCGGGATCTCAACTAATCTCGCATTGTTCCAGTCCTTTGTTTCGACGGCGCGCCGAGGGGGAAGGCAGAGGGGACGGGCCTGCTCAGAAGGATCAGAAGGCTCCCAGCCTTTTTGAGAAGCTTCCGAAGCCTTCGCCGAAGCCGCAGAGGGTTTGTCATAAGGCCCGGCTTTTGAGAAGCCCTGACGCCTTCTGAGAACCTCCTTTCCCCCCTCGGCGCGCCGTCGAATGTTGCCTTGGTCCTGGCTTCGTCTCCGCCGAGGTGCTTGCTGGCCGCATCCTGGACAGCGTCGGCACCGCCTACGAGTGCGACCGTGACGTGTACATCTGGCCGCACGTGCGCGGGGCCCGCGTCTCCGCCCGGGTCGTGCCGCCAGAGGACGGGCTGGCTTGCGGCCGTCCACGGTTCGATTGCGGCTGGTTCGCATCGTGTGCGCGCGGCGGCGACCTTGCCGCGGGCGCTCAGGGTTGAAGGCCTTCAGGGGCCCAGCACCAGCCGCCACGGAACGATCTGGCGATCGGAAAGCCGCCGATCGTTCAATGTGGAGTGATCCGCGCGCTGTCAGAGAGCGACGCTGGTGTGTCGTCAGAATATGCTGTGCCGACTGCGACGACGACCACGACGACGGCAATGGGGGCGGCGATGGCGGCGGCGATGGCGGCGGCGACGACGTTGTCGCTTTGGAGGTGTTGAGCGTTTCTAGATGTTCGCGTCGCACGGCTGGACGCAGCTCGAAAGGTTACGTTTCCGAACCTGGCTCGCCGTCCTCTCGGAGGAGACGGTCAGGGTGAATAGCCCAGGGGCGGGCGCTACCTGTTTCGGGGCTCAGCAGTAGCAACATTCTGTCGGGCGCTGGAGTGGGGGGGCTGGGAATTCGAGCAGGCTCTCGGCGCAAGACTTCGATTGGCGCGAAGATGGCGCATCGAAAGTCGCTGTAGCGCCGGCGCTGGCCAGACGTGCCAGCGCGCGGGACCCACCCGATATCATTACCGACGCCCGCTCGCGGTGTCCGATGCGGCAAGGAGATGGCGGCGGTCATTGCGGCGAGCGCAGCGTCGCGCATTGCGGGTAGCGCGGAACCAAGAGACCGCGGCTGGCAGTGCATCAATGTCCCACTGATACTTTGATGGGGGAAAGGTGATGTCCGAGTGGCCGCGGGGGCGCCTTGCCCAGACGAGCCGCTGGTGATGCGGGGCGCCGCGTTGGTAGGAACACCTTGGGGGCAGCAACGGCGACTAAATGTATAAGTTTTCGCTTACGTGTATCGAATTTCCGTGACTTGCATGGCTTGCGTACGTGAAATCATGTTTGGCTCGATGTTTTTTGTTGTGGGGTGGAGATATGCAGTTTCCACTACATGTATCCGTTCTGCGTTCAGGGGGAAACGAGGCCGCCCTCGCGGCCCGCTGGCGACGCGACCTGTGATAACCATGCCCCCGCAATAGATCATGCATTGTATGAAAAAAGGATGATGCCGCGAGGATTTGCCGCTGTTGGCCAAGGTTTCCCGACGCCGCAATTTTTCGCGTTACTCGCCACCGCGCTCGCCGCCCTACGTGCTTATATCTCCTTGTCACCACTGGCATGTCGGCCAGGCAGTGGAATCGTGTTCGCGCCGCGCGCCGCTGCATCTGATTAGAACCGATGCTGCCGCAACATTGGATGCGCCCTCCTTGTGCCAATCCAATTCCTGCGCCGCGAGCCTGTTCAAATCCTCAGCTGCCCCACTCAGGCTGTCGAAAACATGCTGCTATTGCCGAGCCCCGACAAGGGTGACGCCCAGCCTTCGACTGTCCACCCCCATCGTCTGATCCGATCCTCGGGCCCCGGCGCCCCACCCGACCCGAATGACTTGGCCATCGAGCTCGGGAGAGGCCCAGGAGATGGTCGGTGGCCAGTGCGAGCACCGTTAGTCGCTGCGGGCAGCAATGCAATACCAATACTCCTTGCGGGAGGCAATGCAGTACCAATACTCCTTGTGGGGGCCAACATCGAAGGACCAGTGCCAACATGAATATTCCCTACGGGAAGTAATGCAATTCCAATACTCCCGACTGCACTCCAGTACAATAGAACACGATACAACGTCACACCTGCGGAAACAAAATGCAAGATATCCCTGCTCCTGCGGGACCGAGTTCGGGCCGGCCGTCCCGTCCCACCTTGTCGCCATCTCATGAAACGTTGGCCAACCTTATGGGCCAGGTCGGAACCCAGGGCCAATACCACTAATGCTTGCGGGAAGCAATACAGTGCCAAAGTTCTCCACGGGTAACGACAGCGAGGGGCCCGTGCAAGTATGAATACTCCTTGCGGGAGGCAATACAGTACCAGTACGCCCGTCTACACTTGACTACAACAGAGCACGATACATTAACACACTTGCGGTGCGCAAAATCCAAGATACCCTCGCTCCCTGCGGGCTGGAATCCGTCCCAAAGGGCCCCGCGTGGAACGTTGCCTACCCGTGAGCCGGTGCCCAACCCTCCGGGCTGGGTCGGCCGTCGGCCTCCTTGCGGGAGGCAATGCAATGCCAATAGTTTCTCCTTGCGGGATGCAAGTGACCCGCCCGGGAATGTTGCACGCGCACCAGCGTTCCAAGGCGGGCCCGCTGTCTTCAGGCCGCGACACTTCACCCGCCCTGGAAGTTTGGCCACCGCCCTCGGGCAGTGTTCCGGGCCGGGTCGGTCTTGCCTCCCGCAGGGAGTATTATCGCCACTGGCCCCCTAGGATCTCCGGGTCTTCTCCTGTGCCCTATTGCAGACCCAGCCCGAAAGGCTGAGCCTGGCATCGGGCCAGGTCGGCAGTTGGGCCCAGGAGAGGCCTTGGGGATCCTCGGGGTCCAGTGGCGACACCAATAATCCCTGCGGGAGGCATTAGTGACCTTGCCCGGAGCGTTGCCCGAAGGCGGTGGCCAAATTTCGGGGCGGGTGGAGTGTCGCGGCCTGAAGACAGCGTACCCGCCCTGGAAAGCTGCTGTGTGTGCAAGAATCCGACCCAGTTGGTCGGCGTGAATTCGCCTTCGCATGGAAGGACGTTGGTGTTTTGCTTTCTGCCACCTGCAGGTGCGAATTGTCGTGTTGTATCGTAGTGCACTGTAGGTGGGAGTATTAGTATAATATTGGTTCCCGCAGGGATTATTCATACTGGCATTTGCCCCCTGGTTTCGCTTCAATCAGGCGTCAATCTTATTGTCTTGTTGCCCTCAGCATTATGGTGCATTGCTTTGCATTTCTTGACATCATGACATTGAATTTCATCGCTTTGCGTTGTTTTGCATCGCTTTGCAATTCGCCCCAAACGCTGCCGACTTCGAACATGTGGTTTCGCGCTCAAGTGCCTTGTATGCCTGCGCTGGTGAGATGCTGCCCTGCCATCGAATTCATCTCCCAGGAAGTTCCCGGACTTCCCACGTCCAAGGCACGGGCCCCTCGGCCAGCTCGAGCAGGATCCCGGGGCCAACGCCGCCTCCGAGAAGTCGCCGTGGGACTGTTCGGCGTTGCTGCAATCGTTGCGGGAGGTGCTTCCTCCTCGCCAGCGCCGGCTTCTCTGTGAAAGAATGCCCTGTAGCGCCTTCGTTGCTGCTCCTCTAGCGCCTTCGTGGCTGCTCTTCTAGCACCTTCGTGGCCATGCAACTAGCGCCTTTTTAGCTGCTCGTCGCGACGATCGGTTTCGGAGTTCACTGAGGAACCTTGCGGGTTGCCCATGGGCTGCGATATATGCGTGTGGATGGGAAGGGAAACAGGCGGCGGCTCCAGAGGCCATCGGTTCGAAACAGATCGGGGGTCTGGACACCTGAGCACAAGGAGGAGCTGGTTCGGCGAGGGATAAGGTTTATCCTTTGTCCTCCCCTCGCCTGGAGGGCCTGGGGGTCTGAGAGTCCCCCGGGGCTTCCGAACTGCTCACCAGCCGCCTTGACGGTAGCAGCACCCCTTGTCTGACAAAGCACCAGACGCAGACAATAATTCGACTTCCCTGCGTGCAAGGGCCTACGAACAACAGCATCATGCTGGCGCTCCAGCAAGACATAGTGCACGAGGCACGGCCCTTCAAGAAGGGGTCGAGACCGTTCTGGAGGAGACCCCTCCACGGAGGCAGAGCTTGTCCGGACTGGCTGCGCAGAACCAATTCCTTGTGGCCGATCGGGGGTGCATAACTCTCTTCCCGTGCCCGTGTGGTGGTGCATAACTCTAGTCCTTCGGCGCTGTGATGGCGTAGAATGCTTTCTTTGTTGCCATTACAGGGAGAGGATATGGGAAGATATGGGGGGCGGTATGAAGTTCGAGGAACGTGCGTTGAGGATTTGGTGTTACTTGGCTTTCTTGGTGTGTCCTCGTCGCCAGTGCCGGTTCCTTCTCGACATCGCGGTCAGTATGGCGTCTTCGTGGCTGCTCCTCCGGTGCCTCCGTGGCAGCTCATCTAGCGCCTTCACATGGTTGCCCACTCAGCGACTGCGTGGCTGCTCGTCGCGGCGACCGGTTTCGGAGTTGGTTCAAGGACCCTGCTGGCTGCCCAGGGGGCGCGAGAAGCGGGCGGGCGGGAAAGGGCTTGCGCAGCGGGGGATCAAGCCAGCGACTCTTAACAACCTCGGAGGCCTGGAGACCTAGCTTGCGTGGACCTATAGCCAGAGCCAGGTCCGCCGTGTCCAGGCCCCGGGAGGGGTTCAGGGACCGGCGCTGGGCTAGTTTTACGCGTGGATGAGGTCGTCATCCACCGTTTCGATCGGTTAGTTTCGCCTCTCGCTTCTCTTCCCTCCAAGAGGGAGCGTGCTTGGCTGGTTCGATCCGATTTCGACTTCGACGTGATCAGTTACCGAACGGAAGTCCGCTCTCGCGAGTCCGTTCCATGTCGGACGTTTCAATCGTCGTATGTCTCGTTTCGATCTTCACCGTCCGGCTGCTCCCTCCGCTTGTGTTTTCGTCTGTTTCTCGCCGCTGCGGGGCTGATGGAACCCAGCCCAAGGAGAAGGTTGTCGGCGCTCACGACGGGGTTTGGAGCGAAGGAGGGACTTTCTAAGAATGCACGGAGTTTTTTACGATCCACCCCACTGGAAAATTTGTACGAAGGCAGGGTTGAATCGCCCGTTTCAAAATACTTCCCAGTGGGGTAGTACCATTTTTCTAAGCTGCCTGGCCTGAGCGTAACCGGGGCTGGCAGAGAGCAGAGCGGCGCGCCCAGAGGGAAGTTCGAGGGGGCGGGCCTTGTTAGAACGCTCAACAGGCCCCTGGCCTTCTGAGAAGTTTTCGAAGCCTGCTGCAAAGCAGCCGAGGGCTTGTCAGCGGGCTGGAGGGCGTCTGAGAAGCACCACCGGCCTTCTGAGAAGGCCCGCCCCTCAAGGAGGCGCAGGAGATCGAGGGGGTCGAGAGCGCGGTCTGCCTGCTCCAGGGCACTAAACGGCCCGCGCTTTCGCGAGGGGGCGCCCGAGGGGGACGGGGCCGACCAGAGGGCAATCGCCTTGCCGCGGACCGCCGCCTCGACACGCATGCGGCTCGGCTCGACGCAGCTTTTGCTGGTGTTCGAGGGGTGCTTGCGTGGTCCCTGGTGTCCCTGGGAAGGCGGAGATCCCGATTTTGAAACATAGAGCCAGGGCCAGAGAGAGCTGGAGAGCACCAGAGACGATGAGGGCGCAGGAGGAGGAGGAGGAACAGGATGAGGAGGAGGAGGAGGAGGAGGAGGAGGAGGAGGAGGAGGAGGAGAGACGAGGAACTGGCCGTGATGGAGCAGTTTCTCGTTGACTACAGCGGCGTCTGCAACTTTAACTACAAGCTCCCAGAGGGCGGCGGCATGCGCATCTTCGAGATCAACACCCGTGTAGGCCCGCTGTTGGTCGGCCGCCCTGGTCTTTCTTCGCTTGGCGCTCGTCGTCGATCTTCCTTCCCCTCTCCCCATTTCCTCTCCTCCTCTCCTCCTCGTCCTCCGTCGCCGCAGCGGTCCTTCTCCGTCGCTGGCGTCGCTGTTCCGTCGTCCCCTTCTCTTGCCCCTCTTCTCTCATCCTTCTCATCCTCCTCTTATTCCTGTTCGTCCTCTGTTGTTATCCTTCCATCCTCTCCTTTTTCTGTGATCATCTTTCTCTTCATCCTCATCTCCTCTCGCTTCTTTCCTCAACCTCTTTCTCCTCCTCCCCCCTTCTCCTCCCTGTCTTCCTCCCTGTTTTCCTCCATATCCTCCTCCTCCTCTTCCTCCCCTTTGTCATCTTGTTTTGTTGCGTTGGCCAGACCTTATGTGTGAACATGTAAAACGACCCGGCGCAAAAATAACTCCGAGGGCTCCGCGGGAAACAACTTAAGAGAAAACAGCGGGACATGAAAAGGCACAACAGTACGCGCCCGCCAGGTCATCGAGGTCGGGCAGCACCTGACTAGTAAAGTCCCCCGCCCACCAGTATAGCCTGAGGTAAGATCCCGTAAGATCAGTAGGTGCTGCCGCTTCGGTTGGCAAGGTCCCAGCATGTACCTTGGAGTGCAAACAGCTATTGAACACATAACCGAAGTCAAGAGTATCAATATTGAGGTACATGCTGTAGGGCAGACAGGGCAATTGTGAAAAAATGCAGAGCGTCGCCGTGACTGCATTTTCGGGTTGGTGCCCAGGGGGTTCGTGAACCCCAAACCGTAGTTAGTATACGCCACCGCAGACCCACCAACACCCACACCACCTCCGATACCCCCGAGATTTGTTTGCATGCGCCAGCTATTGGCACAAGGATCAGCAGCAATGGGAGATGGAACCGAGTAAACGCAAACTGCTGGTGTCCAGCAGGAAAATCAGACACTTGAGCAATCTGAAAGTGTGAGTGCGCATTCACTAGCGTGTCGGGTAAGTTTGAGTGTGCTGGGCTGCATGTGGTCAGCAGTCCACAGTGGGAATAACAGGTCATGCCGTTTCTGACGTGCCATGTCCGCGCGGAGACACAATGCTGAGTCAGGCCCGCCGCGCACGATAGTCATCCTCCCCCACCGCCATAAACATCCAACACCCGCTCCTCCATAGTAGGTGCCAAGCATCTATAGCGACAGCAGGTGCAGTAGAACAGCAAAACCATAATCAGAGGGTGTGCGTGCTGTTTCCTTGTGGTATTATGTGAAGCGGCGGCTGGCCTGCGTAGGCTGGCCTGTCGGGAACACATTGGTCGGTATTGCGGCCGTGTTAGCATCAGCTGGTGCTCGTGCGCGCTGTGTTACTTGGCTGCTGACGTGGGCAGATTATCCGTAAGGGCTTCGCCCCCTGCCGCCGGCCCCCTCTCTCGGAGAATGGGCCATGGAAGAGCTAAGTCATGAGGCTTTGGCGCTGTCGTGCAGCAGTATCGGAACTTCATGCGAGGCCGATTCGCAATCGGCAAAACCCACTGATCACAAGAGGGGTTACCACACAGGGCGATTGGTAAGACGTGTATGGTTTACGATCTTGGTTACCACACCTTGGGATTAAAGGGCCGAGGGAGTACTCGCAGTTTGGGTTACCACGCCTTGCGATGGATGTGCGTGAGGGGTGGCACCGAATTTCAGAAATGTGGCAAATCCCCTGTGGTTTTGGACCCTGACCCCGCGGATCTGCGTGAGGGGTGGCACCGAATTTCAGAAATGTGGCAAATCCCATGTGTTTTTGGACCCTGACCCCGCGGATCTGCGTGAGGGGTGGCACCGAATTTCAGAAATGTGGCAAATCCCATGTGTTTTTGGACCCTGACCCCGCGGATCTGCGTGAGGGGTGGCACCGAATTTCAGAAATGTGGCAAATCCCTGTGTTTTTGGACCCTGACCCCGCGGATCTGCGTGAGGGGTGGCACCGAATTTCAGAAATGTGGCAAATCCCATGTGTTTTTGGACCCTGACCCCGCGGATCTGCGTGAGGGGTGGCACCGAATTTCAGAAATGTGGCAAATCCCTTGTGGTTTTGGACCCTGACCCCGTGGATCTGCGTGAGGGGTGGCACCGAATTTGAGAAATGTGGCAAATCCCTTGTGTTTTTGGACCCTGACCCCGCGGATCTGCGTGAGGGGTGGCACCGAATTTCAGAAATGTGGCAAATCCCATGTGTTTTTGGACCCTGACCCCGCGGATCTGCGTGAGGGGTGGCACCGAATTTCAGAAATGTGGCAAATCCCATGTGTTTTTGGACCCTGACCCCGCGGATCTGCGTGAGGGGTGTCGATTTCGAGCCCCCCCAGTAATTCAGACAACGCGCCCAGGGGACGCTGGAAATCTTGTTTGGGCCTCCCCCCCCCTCGCGCGGTCAATCAACTAGTTACAGTAACCAGCAAGAAGCAGAACTGTAACACTGGAAACTACAAGCTACAACTGGTACTGGAAACTGCGAACCCGTGCCTCGCAGCCTGGTGGCCCCACAAGGGGGCCGGCGGATTCACATGCGCGTCTAGGACAGGCATAACATTGACTATGCGCATGCTGAGTGGCCTTAGCGTAGAACTATCAAGTCTGAGCCGTCTGGGACAGTATGGCTTGGACGTCTTAAGTGGGGAGCCCTTCTTGCCAGCAGTCGGCCCGCTATTTTGCCAGCTGTGTACCCGCTTTTCGGTTCCTGGGTGGATGGGGCAACCGTCGCCGTACGAATTCCCAGTGTGAGCGGCGTTGAGCGCTTAAAATTGCAGGGTGGGCATTAGGTATTATGCCGATGGTGCCGTAATGGGGCAAGTGCAACAGCGGGCGCGGCTGTAGCATCCGCTCTGCAACCTGACTCCGCGCGGCTGGCCCGCGGCAAAGGCTGGCTGATGATTCAAATGATGGTACTACCGTTTGTACTTGTGTGTTAGAATTGGGAGCGCGTGGATGGAGCGCCTTGGGCGTCCGTCAAAGCCAGCCTGGGCGCCGGGTCGCAGGCAAACGCGGTGGCACCCGAACTTGCAAGTGGGAGAGTGCCACCACGCGCGTCGAAAGAGCCGCGAGGGTGTGATGCGAGGAGACAGGGGCATGGATGAACACACTGTGCAATCCTAGGGCTGTGGCCCAGCGTTTTGTAGGATAACCGCACGCCTGCGAGCGAGGGCGCCCCCGCCCCCCCCCCCCCCCGCCGCCTGCGCCGCCGCAGCCTCGCAGGAAGGGGGCAATGGAAGCCCTGCGTGGGGCCTAGAGCACTTGTGGAAGCTGCCTGCACCTAGATTCGCAACGACAGGCGGTATAACGCGACCACACGGCGCAGTTGATTTGCGGCTGCTTCCAGATATAGGTGTGCACGCTGATGCTTGCGCAGGGAACTTATCCATCATGTTGGAGGTGACGTCTGTCGATATCCACAGTTGCGCAGGCATGTCTGCAACTGCTGGGGGACTCGCGTCGCTAGGTGCCCAGCCGACGCGGCCACAAGGTGGCGAGCGCAAAAGCGAGCGAGAGGGATCGTGGCACCTCGTTGTGCAAGATGACTGCGTGCGGCTGGCCTGTAATTGAGGCTGGTCTTGTGCCCAAATGAGATGGTTCTATTGTTAGCATTTGTGTGCATTAGCCGAAGCGAGTGAATGGAGCGCCTTGGGCACCAATCGAAGTCTGCCTTGGGTGTCTAGCCGCAGGTAGTGGCGGCGGTGATGCGCCGGGCCTGCATCCGAAATGCATAGCCCGAGGGCTGCGACCCAGGATTTTGTCGGCTAGCCCCAAACCTGCGAGCGAGAGGAAGCCGTCGATCGCGTCGCAAGTTCCTCGAAGGAGAGAAGGAGGGTGCGCGGCCGAACGATGGGGAGAGAAGGCAGGGGCTTCGAATGATACAAATGTGCGATCCTAGGGCTGCGACCCAGGTTTCTGCGGGACCGCCCCAAACTTGCGAGAGGGGACGCGCCGCCGTCGCGCCGAAAGAGCCGCGAGGGGAAAGGGGGAATAGCGTGTTGCAAGTTGGTAGTGTGTCTCGACGGTCTGACCGCGATTGGGCGCGCCTGTGCCCAGCAAGTCCGGTGGGCCCCACCTGCGGTACTTGGGCGAGCAGGTACTGGTTGTGAGTGTCGTGGTAGATTGTAGTAATGCCCAAGGCTGGTTGTGGTGGGTCGACATGTCGTTTGTGTAGACTGACCCACGTTGGTGATCGTCGGTTTGCCCTCGGGAGTAGCCTTGCAGAGCGCTGCAGTGCACTTGGGCGGCGGCCCCCCATGCGTGCCTTCATGCATGCGGTTGAGGCACTTCTCGTAGCGGGTCTGGTACGTGCGAAGCCTGGTCCTGTAGTCCTGGAGCGCGGGGTGTCCAACCTTGTTGGGGAAGACGATGCGTCGGTTGAAGCTGAGGATCTGGCGTTCGCCTCGTCGCGCTGCTTCCTGTTGCGTTGCGGTCGGTTGCTTGCGCTGCGATCGTCGGGAAGTTGGTGCGCCGCGTCGCCAGCGTTTGTGCTGCCAGCTGTCGCCGTGGAATATCCCGTGTCCGTTGTTGGGCGTGAGTGTCCTCGTCTGATATGCGTGGTTCGTGCAGGTGGTGTCTGGTGCGCCGGTGTGAATAGGTGTGATGGTGACGATTTGATCATGCTGGTGAATGAGGGCGAGGACGTCTTTGGTGGCGTCGTTGCGCTGTTGGTTTTGGGCGTGGTCGGTGGCTGTTGCGTGGTCTGGTTAGCTCGTTCGATGAGGTGAGCTGACGGTGAGCTGGTGGTGGTTTCTAGGGTCTCCGGTGAGTCGTAGTCGCGATGAACGGGGTCGTTTTGCGGACGTGGATCTTCTGCATGCGTTCGCTTGGGATCATATGTTTTCGTGGTTGTGTGTGGGGGTTTGTTGTGCTATGCTTTGTGCTTCTGGTGGCGTCGATCCACCTGGTTTGTAAAGCTGCTGCGCAGGTTGGAGCTCTGCTGCGTTGATGTAAGCAGCGTCGGTTGGTTTGGTCGGGCTCGTTG